CTAGTTGGGAGGCTGAGGCAAGAGAATCACTTGAGCCTAAGAGTTAGAGGTTGCTGTGAGCTATGATGTCACAGCACTCCACCAAGGACAATGAAATAAGCCTCTGTTTAAAAAAAAAAAAAAATTAGCTGGGCGTTGTGGCAGGAGCCTGTAGTCCCAGCTACTTGGGAGGCTGAAGCAGGAAGCTCACTTTTATCCAGGAGTTTGAGGTTGCTGTGAGCTATGACACTTCAGCACAACTCTAGCCTAGGTGACAAAGACTATGTCCTTTTGGGGGTTTTTTGGAGACAGTGTCTTACTATGCTTTCAATACAGTGCCGTGGCATCACAGCTCACAACAACCTCAAACTTTTGGGCTTAAGCAATTCTCTTGCCTCAGCCTCTCAGTAGCTGGGACTACAGGCACCTGCCACAATGCCTGGCTATTGTTGTGTTGTCACTGTTGTTTAGCAGGCCCAGGCAGGGTTCAAACCGCCAGCCTCAGTGCATATGGCCGGAGCCCTAACCACTACCACTGCAGAGCCAGAGACTATATCTTTAAAAAAAAGCAAGCCCAGGCACAGTGGTTCATGCCTATAATCCTAACATTCTGGGAGGCCCAAGTGGAGGATCCCTTGAGCTCAGGATTTCAAGACCAGTCCAAGCAAGCGCAAGAGCAAAACTCCACTTTCTACTAAAAATAGAAAAATTAGGCTTGGTGCCTATGGCTCAAGTGGCTAAGGTGCCAGCCACATACACGTAAGGTGGCGGGTTTGAATCCAGCCAGGGCCTGCCAAACAACGATGGCTGCAACCAAAAAATAGCCAGGCGTTGATGGCAGGCGCCTGTGGTCCCAGCTACGTGGGAGGCTGAGGCAGGAGACTAGCTTGAGCCCAGGAGTTGGAGATTGCTGTGAGCTGTAATGCCACAGTATTCTACCCAGGGGGATAGCTTGAGGTTCTGTCTCAAAAAAAGAAACAAAGAAAGAAAAAATTAGGCTGGGCATGGTGGCTCACGCCTGTAATCCTAGCACTCTGGAAGGCCGAGGCAGGTAGATTGCCTGAGCTCACTGGTTTGAGACCAGCCTGAGTAAGAGAGTGACCCCCATCTCTTAAAAAAAAAAAAAAAAAAATAGTTGGACGTTTTGTTGGATACCAGCTACTTGGGAGGCTGAGGCAAGAGAATCACTTGAGCCCAGGAGTTTGAGGTTGCCATTAACTATGATGTCACAGCACTCTACTGAGGGTGACAAAGTGAGACTCTGTCTTAAAAAAAAAACACCAATAAAAACACTTAAGAGGTAAGGTCCTACTTTCAGGACAACCCAGCCCAAGGATAAGAAAAGACCACAGGAGACTCACCTTAGTTACTCATGGTGGTCATCTCAGGAACTCACCAATGGGCCTCTCCTTACCTCAGACAATCCCCACCAGAATGTTGTCTAGGGAGGCTAGTAAACTTCAGAATGAGAGGACTCAGGATTATGGCCCACAATTCTCCTTTTGTAGACTCTGGGTTTAAGGAAGCAGACAGGAGAGAATAGGAGGTGGGCAGTGTACACTCTCCTTAAGAGGCTCTGAACCTACTTCAGTTTGTTTTCATGGGTTTCCAAGTTACTGCACAAGAAGCTTCTTCAGGTTAATGGCTAGTTTGCAGAGGCCAGAAAGGGGGAGGCAGGACCTGTGGCACATGTTTGAGAAACTTGGGCAGCTGTGTCCTCTAAAGCCTTGTGGTCTCAGGTACCTTAACGGGGAGTAAGTGTGAAGAGAATGGAAGAAACATATTCAGCAGTTCAGGGCTCTACTCGCCCACAGCCATCTGTTTGACTAAGAGAGTTCTGGTTCCTAGGCGATCTGGAGAGTAAAGCAAGAGGCTGCTAACGCTGTGCACCTTGGCCCAGAGGGCATACACGAAGTGCTCACGTGCTGACCTCCTGACCAAGCAAGCTGCTACGTGGGTGTCATTATCTCAATGGACTGTTGCTGGCCAGCAACTGGTAATAAGCACTGGGCTAGAGGGGAGTCTGTGTGCAACAAAAGGGTAAGGGTAAGTGGGCAGGAGGTTAAGACTCCAGGAGAAAAAAATGGTTTTCTAAGTTCTAGGACTGCCTAGGAAGAGCCCACCATATTCTCTAGAATATTCTCACCAGGGAGTTCCCATAAGGGAAACATATATGAAATCAGTGGTTGGCTGTTTTCCTCAGAACAAAGTTATATGTAATAGACAATCAAGCCTCCCACAGACCGCTCCTTTATTGCACTGGCACTGACAGAAAAGCACCAGTGCCAGGCTGCCAGCTGGGAGCACTGATTATGGGTGATGAAGAGAAAGGAGGCTTCTGTCCCTGGCACATATTATGGGAACCCCAAAGAATGGATGTTTATGCATAAAATAACCCTCTTGTTTCTGCCTAAATGCTTCCCTCTCTCATTTGCCCCATCATCATTTTAGGTAGTGTGGAGACAAAGAATTTGCTCATTTATACAGGAATAAAAAGGGTGCAGAGATTCAGAATTGGCTCATCATAGGTTATCTCTATGACTAAAGCTCTTTTCCCAAGAGCAAACTGTAGATTATTTGCTTGAAATTAATAATGGTTCATCAGCCATTCATTACACATGTAATTAGCCTGGGTAAAAACAGATGCCATTTCAATGTCCTTGACATCAATTTGCTCCACTCCAAGTTATCACCCCAAAACACTCTTTCTGTTTTCCCTTCTCAAGTCTCATAAACCTCCAAGTTCCAGACTGGGAGCAGCAACTGTGTTTTGGTAGATTTGATTGCATATACCAAACAGGCAATACTAGAACATCCCTATCCAGGGAAACAAAGGGTAATTGTTTGTTTGGTTTTTTTTTTTGCCCCCCCCCCCCCGAGGGGATGCACTGTTCCTGCAAGTACTGCAATGCCAGGTCGGTAGGTAGTGTGGATGGAGCAAACTCCTTTTCCAGAGGATAATTTTTAAATTACAATTTTGGAACATGGTTGAACTCATCTCATATTCTTTTTTTGAGACAGAGCCTCAAGCTGTTGCCCTGGGTAGAATGCTATGGCATCACAGCTCACAGCAACCTTCAACTCCTGGGCTCAAGCGATTTTCCTGCTTCTGCCTCCCAAGTAGCTGGGACTACAGGCAGCCGCCACAACCCCTGGCTATCTTTTGTTGCAGCCATCATTATTGTTTGGCGGGCCCAGGCTGGATCGGAACCCGCCAGCTCAGGTGTATGTGGCTGGCGCCTTAGCTGCTTGAGCCACAGGCGCTAAGCCCTCATCTCATATTCTAAACCCACTTCTTGGATAACAGCACAAAGAAAAGTAATGAGGAACCAGGTAGGAAAGAGACAGAACTGCAGTGGAGTTTCATGCATTTGCTTAATAAGAGTAATCACTCCTGAGCAAAGTCTTCCAAACTCTACCAATGAAGGTCTGGTTGTCTATAATATGGTAATAAGGCACTCCCAGGCTGGTCTTAAGAACTGAACTCTTGGCTCAGTGCCTACAGCTCAGCGGCTAGGGCACCAGCCACATACACAGGAGCTGGCAGGTTCGAATCCAGCCCAGGCCTACCCAACTACAACCAAAAAAAAAAAAAAAAAAGCTGGGCGTTGTGGTGGGCGCCTGTAGTCCCAGCTGCTTGGGAGGCTGAGGCAAGAGAATCACTTAAGCCCAAGAGTTTGAGGTTACCAAGAGCTGTGATGCCACTCACTCTACCCAGGGCAAAAGAGACTTGTCTTGAGACTGTCTCAAAAAAACCCCCCCAAAATCCAAAAAACCCCCTGAACTCTTGGCTCGGTGCCCGTAACTCAGTGTTTAGGCCCCTGGCCATTACACCAGGGCTGGGGGGTTTGAACCTGGCCCAAGCCTGCTAAACATCAACTACAACAAAAAATAGCCAGACATTGTGATAGGCGCCTGTAGTCCCAGCTACTTGGGAGACTAAGGCAAGAGAACCGCTTAAGCCCAAGAGTTTGGGGCTGCTGTGACCTGTGTGACACCACAGCACTCTACCAAGGGTGACACAGTAAGACTCTGTCTCAAAAGAAAAAAAAAAAAGAACTGAACTGTTACTTAAGAGTCATGGAAGTGGAACCTCAAAGAGTGGCAGACACAAAAACATTGTTAGTCATCCAGGTCCTGGCCCATATATAGACGGCACCACTGACCTGTTAAACAAGTGAACTGGGGCAGGACCCTAAAATCCAGTGTAGGCCACTCATCCCAGCCAGCACCTAGCCTGTGTGGACCACTGAGGCTGAGAGGACATCATGTAAGGTAAGGCCCTGAGGTACACAAAGGAAGAAATCTTGTTTTCCACTTTATCCCCAGCACCTAGCACCACAACTGGTACATAGTAGGTGCTCAATAAGTATTTGTCAAATAAAATGAACAAACATAAGCATGACTAATGGTACTGAAAGAGGAAGAGCTCAGACAAGGGTGCTCTCCCACAGGAGATAGGGGGACCCATCCTTCAGAAGATTCTTTTATTAAAACTGGGTGACATCAATAAGGGGACAGTACAAAAAAAATTTTGGTCCATGAAAAAAACATAATAATTCAGTTAATAAAAAGTTATCTTCAACAGGGACACTGTAGTAGGAGTGCTGAGCTTCCTTCTCATGGTTCCAGCTAGGAGCTGGGCCAGGACTCAGCTGCCCCAAGGTTGTCCAGTGTCACTGTGGGGAGAGCCTCTCAAGGGAGGGATAGTGACAGGAAAGGGAGGATGGAGAGAAAATTCTGCTGTCCCCAGTGCAGAACAGGCAAGTTAGATAAGGGACTGGGGGGGATGTGCTCGCAGGAGCCTGAGGAGGGGGTGGGGAAGCAGGGGCTTTGTCAGTTCTGTGGCTTTAGAGCCCATGCTGAACGGAATTCCCCCTCTGTGCCCAGCTATCTCCCACCCTGCTGTGTAGAGTCTGCGAGCCTGGGATATGCTAACTTGGGGTGATACAACCTGGAAGAAGAATCTGAGGCTCTCCTGGAAAGATGCAAAACCATCTCAGTTCCAAGGGGCCAAGATCACAAGGTCCTGCTGCTACCTGAGGGGTCTGAAGCTTTGAGGGCAGGGGCTGGGAAGCCACAATCCTGTGAGGCAGGGAGAGGGAAGAGTTACAAACCCAACTCAGCGCTATTCTCCAGCCCTAGGCCCTTTCACTCCTCAGTGCCCTAGAAGTCACCAGTGGGCGTCAACTGGGCAGGCAAGGGACAGGAAGACAGGGATGGCCTAGGGCTTATACCCGTTTGATTTTAGGCCTGTTTCTCCAGTAAAGGATGGGGTGGCGTGGAGTGAATGAGTCACCCCTCCAAGCAACAGCAGGAAGGAACAGCCTCTGCTGGCAACGACAGTACCCCAAATTGGATCCCTGGGGCTCTAAAAGGGAAAGGCAAGATTCCCCCACCCAAATGCCCTGGGTTAGGACAGATATGAGGGAATCCTAAAAGGGCAGCTACAAGGAGTATGCTGGGAGGGATCAATAGTTAAAGAACAAACTCCAATACTGACGTGGACCCCCTACTAAGCAGTACGAGAAGCACTGAGAGAGCAGGCCAATCCCGAGGGCTGGGGACTGACCTGGGGCTCAGTGGAGCCCGAAAGCCAGGGTTCCTTTAGTGCTAGAGGGCAACAAGGGAGAGTTTGCTCCAAACCTGTGAAGGGAAGGAAGGAAATTGGATTCTGTTATCAGGAGAGCCAAGATCAACTAGCTTATAGAGTGCCCTCAGGCCTGAGTCTGGGAGAAGGGGCAATAAAGCTCCCAATTCCTGGGTCTCTGAAGGGCAGGATCAGTGTAGCTGGTCCCCTTGAAGACCACCTGGCCTTAGGCCCACTCCATTCTGAGCACTGATTACCACTACAGGTTCTCTCTCTAACACTATCTAGAGGTCCTATGTAGACCAGGGGAGGGTAGAGGCACGTGGGAGCTCTGTGGGGCAAAGGGAAGCTGGGGGTGAGAAGGGATAGGGTGAGAGAAGAGGGTAAGAGCTGTCTTGCAAGACAGAAATGTGAGACCCTCTTCATTCTGGTGTTGTCCTTGAACCAACAGCATCCCCTGGAAAGCCCCAAGCAAGACCAAGGCAGGTGCTATGAGGCAGGCAGCACAGGGCCCAAATAAAAAATCGGTGCAGCCAAATCAAGGCTGTGGAAGAGACCCTATGTATTCCGGATTCCCAGGGCTTGCTCTAATTCTTGTCGTCTCTGCTGCACCTAGGGAGAAAAGATGGAGGGAGCGTAAGATGAGACAAACCAGACATTGGTGTCTAATACCCACGATCCCTGTCAGGGTGCAAACCCCTTGCCTTTTGGGAATTCCCCCCACATACTCCAGGGACCTACCTTGGAGTAGAAGTATCGGCATACGGCCTCCTGAGCCCAAGGCTGGAAGTAGAACTCAGCTCGGCGCTCTTCCTCTGGGTTACCCACCACATCAGTCATTGTCTGAGGAAAATGGAGGTCGGGGAGGAGGGAAAGAATGGAGAATAGACTTGTTTCCTTCCTTCACACCTGTTATTGGCTGAATCCTCCCCAAAACGTGGAAATCCTCACCTCCCGGGACCTGTGAATGTGACCTTATTTGGAAATAGGGTCTCTGCAGATGATCAAGTTAAGATGAGATCATTAGGGTAGGTTCCAAACCAATATGACTGATATTCTTATGAAAAGGGGAAATTTGGACACAGACATGTAGGAGGAAGACAACGTGAGGACAGAGACCACCACCTAAAAGCGAAGCGGCGCCTGAGGCTACCAGAAGTGAGGAGAGCTGCACGGAACAGATTCCCCCTCAACTCTCAGAAGGAGCCAACTTGCTGACACCTTGACTTTGGACTTCCAGCCTCCCCAACTGTGAGATAAATTTCCATTGTTTTAAGCTTCCCCATTTGTGGGAGTTTGCCATAGCAGCTCCAGCAAACTAACACAACATCCAAAGTCACGCTCTGTTATAACAAGTCATTGCCTTGTTCAGGGACTTTTACTGGCACCTTTTTCCCTGCTCGTCTGCTCAGCCTCTGTAATTACAGTCATAGTCACCACAGGATAGGTGAAAACCTAGGGCGTATTTCATACATTCTGTGCTTATTTCTATCTTCCTGCCTGAGCTTATGGTACAACCCTTTCTGGGCAATACTTTCAAATCCCAAATTTTCCATGAAGGCTCTCTCAGCAATTCTAGCCTCATCCACATCCTTTCTCCTTTGAATTATCTTATTGGTACTGGTCAGATTGGTCAGTATTGATGACATCTTTTTTTTTTTTGAGACAGATTCTCGTTATGTCACCCTTGGTAGAGTACCGTGGTATCACAGCTCACAGCAACTTCAAACTCTTGGGCTTAAGCGATCCTCTTGCCTCAGCCTCCTAAGTAGGTGGGACTACAGGCACCCGCCACAATGCCTGGCTAATTTTGGCTGTAGTTATCATTGTTGTTTGGCAGGCCTGGGCTGGGTTGGAACCCGCTAGTCACTACGTACTAGTCGCTACCCTAGCCGCTGAGCTGATGACTTTTCTTTTTTTTCTGAAACAGAGTCTCAAGCTTTTGTCTTGGTAGAGTGCTACGGCATCAAAGCTCATAGCAACCTCCAACT